TAAATATTGTTTTAAATCACTAAAAATTTATAAAAATAGCGTATATTATCTGTTTATATTTGAATTTTATATAAAAATTCTGTATCTTTATTAAGTATTTATAATTTGAAGTGTTTTAATTTATTATTTTTAATTTAAAAATTAAATTAATTAACTTCTATTAATTATAATGAAATAATGAAACACTTCTTATTGATTGTTATTTTACTCAGGGATGGGAGGTGATTGTTTGTTCTTTCGAACATTATCTTTTGTATGAATAAAGGAGAATAAATCAGAATTTATTATACTATATCTAAAAATTATAAATTATATAGATGCTAGTTTAATTAGAAAATAAATAAGCTTAATTTGAACTTAATAATTATAAATATACAGTAATCATGCTTAAAAGTTTTTAAATATAAATAATTTAAGTATAAAATTTTATATCATTTTCATAAATAAATGTTAGAATTCATTCTCAAGAATATCAAATGCTATTGTTTACGATTGTTCGATTTCCTTGCTTCATTCTATTAAAAATATTTAAATATCTACATTTTGTATATTAATATTCTTCAATTAATTTAATATGATTTTTTTTTCATGAAATCGTAATAAATTCTTAAATTATAATTGTATATACACGTAAACTTTATTAATTTTAAGTTATAAATTTATTATACAGAACGTATTAAGCTCGTAATACATCAGGTTAAATGTTGTGTACAATGTATACCTTAAATTTTAGTGATAAAAAATTTTTATTTAAGAACTATTTAATAAATAAAAGCGTATTAAAACGATTAAATTTGAAGAAAATTTTGGGAAAAATGATAATTAACTTACACATTTTCCTGAGATTGGTAGACCTGAGGAAGAAACTAAAGTTTTTGTATTCCTTCTCGAGGTCTACTAGTGTAATTTTCTAGATTTCCTCCCGAAAGGCCGAGTAAAGATTAGATATATTACGTTTAAGGGCAAAATTTAATTATTTCAGTAGAAGATTTTATTAGAATTACTATAGACTGTGTTTTTGTTCGGGCTAAAATGTAGGTTGCGAAGGTGATGCTAACTAGTTCAGCGTAGTGGAGAGGCTCGGTGCTGATATAAAGAATGTTTTCTAGGCGAGATAATGTTGGATCAAGTCATCTGTAACGGTTAGGATGGAATATTTATTTGTGAGGTGCGGAAGAGATGAAGCGATAAAACAAGCCCTTAACGCAGACAGCGGAGCCGCCCAAAGATAAGGGCGTTACGGTGCTGCCAACTACCGGAGCCGATATGAACTAGATCGTTATCTGAGCTAATTGGATCTGGTCAGAGCAGCACTGACGCTCTGTCATCTCTGACCCTTCTCCCTGTCATTTCCGCGCCCTGTAGCCATAGTTGTCAGTTGGCAGGTTATTCGTCTATTTTGTGTATCTGATCACGCATCTCAAACGTTTGACTGCTTAAGAAGCTTTGCAAAAGTTAATACCAAGTCTGGAATTAGCTTTGGTTTGACAACTTCCATTTAAACTATCGTGTGATTGCGATTTCACAAAAGTAATTAAAATTAGCGTAAGTTTTAACCGTGTAATCATCGTTTCTTCACGTAGGAAATTGGTGGTCAGCTCTTATTTTATTCGGGGATATAACTCCAATATAGTCTAAATAAATTAGTTAGATTTTAACATAAAAATAAGCCAATAAATAATCATAAACTTCATATCAAAACTGTATCCTATTTCTGACATTTTTAGCCTCTTGAAGTGATAATATTGTATTAGTCAGCTTTGAAGGACTTCAGACATTTGAACATTTAGCAAAATTGTCTTTTTCAGTATTTTATAATAAACAAATTTAAATAAATTAACTTACTTTATTTCAAAAAGCTTTTGATCTTTATATAACGAGATCCATTTGACAGTTTTGTAAGGCAGAAGTAGTTTACTTGATATCTGAGACATCTTTACGAGAGTTAAAAGTGATTAACGGGAAGGAAAATGTATAACTCACGTACAAAGATTTAAGAAATAGTTTCTTTCAGTTGAAAGTCAATATCAATTTCAAAGCATATACATCTATTGATCAGTTCTGTCAATAGGAAATATTAATTTGATTTGATAACCAAATGAAATTTTGGATTATTTGATAATACGAAACTGCATTTAACTTAAGCAAAATTTAACAAACATTTCAGTTTGTTGAAGTAAATTATAAGTTGTATGTAATTTCATTCTATGATTATGCTTTTTTTTTTTTTTTACCAGGAGAACGTCAACTCTGTTGGACACTTTTCTTAAAATTAATTTAAGAATAAGCTTCTAGATTAAAAACTTTAACAAATCTTAATACAATTTAAGGCTTTTCTTTCGAAAAATCCTGAATGTAGGTTTTATAAATCTTCTCCCACAGTAATACAACTCCACCAGATTGTGTACAGTCAGCCGCGAAGGCAGCAGTTTGATATATTGCCTGTCCCTTACAGGCAAAGGGTTTTCCACCATTGACTGACCCCTAACGGTTGAAGGACCACTCGGACTGCTGACCCAACAGTCAGCTATGAGTCCATTTATCAGAGATTGGCACCACATGAACTAACGGAAAATTCCAGGAGCCATTCTTCATTTTGAAGATCTTCTATGCCACATTCAGGTAGTTACTAATGGTGCCTTTCGGTTTTATTTTTATTTTTTTATATATATTACAAGACTTATTATGATTTCTAATATTAATGGAGTTTAAAATTACAGGATATTAAAAGTTAGAATTTTAAAGACTGTTATTAGGTAACTCTAATGATTGTAAGTAAAGAGACAATTTATACTTTGTAGTGATACATCATCTCGAGGGACTTTAAAATCAAATTAACAATCTAATTAGAAATTAACTAGAACTAGCTGAAATTGCAGGGTGTTCTTCCTGGAAAACAACTTCTGTTTGAAAATGAGTGGAAGTAATAAAACACTCCAAATGAAGATCATCTGTGCTTTGTCTGACAGTCTAAACACAAGCAGATTGGACACAACTAGTAAGGTAATTAGTCCCTTAAGGTGGCCGGACACCCCACCCTCTTGGGGGGATAACGATCCTGGATAGAGAGAGGGGAATGATGAGTGTCGAGGAGAGGAAGAAGATAGCCTAATAGAGAGTCGAAAAAGGGGTGGAGAATGACCGGTCGATCCAGCTCGACTTCAGAATGTCAGAATGACTTCGTGATCGGTCACATCCCAACAGCAAATCGATCTGTTAAACACACAGTTTTGATTACTTGGTATGTCAGGAGGATGGCTGTTATGATTCTCTTCTTTGTTGGGATGTTCGCTTTAATCTTTCTTGTAACTGAAACTTTTCGTTCTCGAAATCTTATGAAATTTTTATGAGAGTTTCTTTAAAAACTTTCATTTCCATCAAGTAATTTTAGAACGGTCTATCCGTAATGATATTGATTAATATGGTGAATTATATGAATTTCATTAACATCATTTTCTATCTTCTTTCTATCTTCTCTTTTGTAATGATGACTGTTAATCAAATTGAAGTTAATTTAATTCATTTATTTGATGATATATTGAGAATATACAAAATAATTTATTTATAATAGAGATATTAATTTGTATAGGCTACATTTTTAACTTCGATGATTAGATTATTGTTTGAGTTTTATTGAATTGTTAATTATACTTGATAATTTAATTAATAAATTATTCATCTTTTATGTTGCAGTTATTCACAATTACATAAATTTCATAAATGTATTTAAACAAATTTTTATTATTGTACTAAATATAGAAGTTTATTTTTGAAAACTTTGCTCATTAAATGTATTATTAAGCTCGTAATACATCAGGTTAAATGTTGTGTACAATGTATACCTTAAATTTTAGTGATAAAAAATTTTTATTTAAGAACTATTTAATAAATAAAAGCGTATTAAAACGATTAAATTTGAAGAAAATTTTGGGAAAAATGATAATTAACTTACACATTTTCCTGAGATTGGTAGACCTGAGGAAGAAACTAAAGTTTTTGTATTCCTTCTCGAGGTCTACTAGTNAATTACATAAATTTCATAAATGTATTTAAACAAATTTTTATTATTGTACTAAATATAGAAGTTTATTTTTGAAAACTTTGCTCATTAAATGTATTTTTATTTACATAATTTGTAAGATATTATTAAATTCTTTAAATATATATACTGTATTTAATTAATAGATAAACATGGAGACAGATTATGCCAATGAACCTAAAACAATGCTTTCAGCTTTAAAAAACTTTAATTTTTATTTGTCATATTAATTAAATACAGTGAATTCTGCTAATGTGATCACTGAAGGGACCAGCTCAAAATGGGTCACCTTACACAGGTTGTCACCTTATACAGGTTTCACTGTATAGCGATTAAATTCGTATTTTATTCTTGAATTTATTAATTAATTACAAGATTAAGATATGTTTTTATTGTATAAATTTTAATTTAGTAAATTATTAATTTGTTTTCGCTTCGTTTTTAAATAAAACTAATTTATTTTAGGTATTTAAATTACTAATTGAAACGTATTTAAATTAATAATCTCGTTATTATGGCATTTCCTTTATACAGTTTTCATTTTAAAAATATTAGACGTAAATCTATATCAAGATTATCTCGTCTCAAATCATGTTGTAAAGCGAACAATAGTAACTTTCGTTATTAATTTTAATTTATTAATTTATTAAAATGTATCTGTCATTTGCTTATCTTTGAAAATTCATTAAAAGTTTAGAAAATTAATAATTATAGCGAAATTAAAGCCGGAAATTGCTATTCTAGAGAAAAATTTTAATTCATAATTTTAAAATATTACTGCGCTAGTTTAATATACTTATCGAAGGAAACGTAGAGAAATTATTTTTAAATTAACTTATTACAAATTATATTAAGTGAAAATGCTTACAATTAGATATAATTTCTTTTTATACACGTTCTAATTTGAATTTGAATTTATTGAAAAATTAAAATTCACATAATATGCGAAACGAGACTTTATTTAAACAAGAAGACAGATTTACATACAACCAAATATTTACTTTAGTTCATATCATTCTTCGTCGATATTCAAATTATTATGCGAATGGTCCTTTTTTTCCCCGTTAACCTTAATAGGATGAAGGAAAGAAAGAAAGAGTCCATTCGCTTTGGCACTTGAAACTAAACTCGGATCGTTATAAGCGATAGTCACAAGATTTAGACACACTTAACAACTTAAGAAACTGCGTTTCCTCATTTCTTATTAAACTGTACAATCTTTGGTATTAGTAAAAGCTCAAACTGTGATTGGATCAATTTCGATCATCATATTGGCCACTGGAGATTTTGTTGTTAACAACAGGATACAATAATATTAAAATAGGATCTTGCAAGAGACAAAGCAGTAAGACACGTAGCTTTTCAATTCGTTATGGCAAATTTGGCCAATCTTTGTTAATCGCTTCCAAGAATCGGGCTTTCGGAGTTTAAAAGAATATACAATTAATTAAAATTATCGTATGTAATTAGCTATAATTACAATGAAGTTCGACCAAATGTGCCTTCCATGCTCTTGCTGTTAAGCTCCTATTCGTTGTGCGATGTTATACTTTCAGCATTATTATTATAACGGCAAACCATTTCCTGAAGTTTGTCTATGACGAACACTGAAAAGAAAATTAGAAATTAATTTTAGATAAGAATAAAAAAATATATATTTTTTTTAATTTAAAATTTTATAAAAGTTTAGAATTAAAAAAAAAAAAAAAAGAAAATAATACAGGCTACGTTAAATACAAAATCTAACGAAATTTCCTCCTGTTCTAAAATAAACAAATAGACAATATTGATATAATATACTGTTTAAGATATTGACAAGTTAAATAAATAAATATTAGATATATTTAGATGAATATAAGATGTCTATCAAGTTACAAAACCCATAAAATTCTCCTTTACACTTAAATCTATAAATAAAATTAGTATCATAGCGAGAAGATAAATGATTACTTAAGGAATGACAAGGAGACTGTCAACTGGCTTCCATTGTTTTTAAGTAGGAAAATTCAACTACAGACTGTGGCAAAAACTTATGAATTTATTAACTTAGTCGGTATCATTTCTTTTCGAAAGGCACATGAGAGAAAATGATAAAAGTTTTAATAAAAGAAGCAATTAAAGATAAACATTCAATCTTTGAAAGATAACAGAATTAATCGGTTTGTTATGCTCAAGAAGGTGGTATAGACTATTAGAATTCGGTTGGTTGCGGAGGGAGGAGGAGGTGTTTGCCACTCCTTATCAACTCTCTTGTCAGCTGTGACTCGCGGTTGGAGACGAATTCAATTACTATTCGACACGCTGTGAGACAGAAGAATCTGGTTTCGTTAAAGAGCCAAACACCTGACGGGTAGATCGAGACAAGGCCATCATTATGAGTATTTTGTTGCCCCGATAACTTGAAACGTTAATTTAAACCGTCCATTCAAGAAGTAATTAGGTGTCAGGTTTTTTAATCTTTAAAATTTTATTAAACGGACGGCGAAAGTTTGAAGAGTACGAATTAACTTGCAATTTAAAGTGGTTATGACCTTTTTGTAGCTGGTTATTGTTATTCTTATTGAAGAAGATTAAAGGGGTAAAATTAAAGAGGTAAAAACAATCAGAGATTCTAATTTAAAATCAATATTTTAATTATTGAGTTATAGCTTTTATAAAAACTGTATACAGCCTATATATACGTGTGTGTCTTGGCCTATAATGTTAATAATAAAAAAATAATAATTAGTCAAAGAACACTGTTATTAAATGTCAGAATACACTTATATCTTACGAATTAAAGGAAGCTTTATGGAAACAAAATCAATTTCGTATAGAATGCCTAAATATTGATTTAAGAAATGCTAAAGAAGTCCGTTCGTTTAAATAACAGGAATCTTTTAAAAATCTACTTACTGTCGACGCCATAAAGCCGAGTGACAATACGAAACAGGATCTACTATGTTTGTTTAACTAAATTTCGTTTATAATTTACAAGTGTCTGACGTCATAAAACCTCCTACGTCAAAGAAACTAAGAAACAGCGAAGTTTCTTTAAGAAAAGTCAAACATAATATCATCGATCACAAAATCTTTTTTTTTTTTAAATCCTAAATCTCACAAGACTAGTCACGCCCAATGCATGGGAACGGAATGCAATTGGCCGCTTTGGTTGATGCATTAGATATGCTCCCTGACAAATTGTTGCCACTAACGATATTGCGTCCTTGCATTTATATATTTATATTTAACCTTATTGAGTGTGAAAGGAATGATAATCGATACTGTTAAAGAACTCTTATTATATTACCGTTTACATTGATTTAAGAGAAACTGAAGAGCTGTTGATACTTTTTCGAGTGAATGACTCTATTATTTTGAAGCCGGTTCTAACAAGTATTAAAACTAATATAATTTGTTTAATTATATCTAATTTGAAATGTATTTACGAAATTAAAATATTTTGAGTCATTTATAAGTCTATTTCAGTGTAAGTAGACTTTATTTTAATACAGTGTTGCCTTTTGCTCAATATTGTAAATTATATATAGGCCTATGCGTCAGTCTAGCTCAGTGTAATAAAATATTTTGGCATTGAATAGATATATGCTTACAAGCTTCCTAGGCAATAAGTTATATGTGTGACATTTTAAAAATAAATATACTCCGATAGAACTTGTCAGTGTATAAAATATCTTAATAAAATGTATCATTTTTACCTGCAAGACCAATATTTATGAAGCAACTAATGCCTCACTTCATTATTAAAAGGATGTAGTTTATTACCATCTTATTTTCATGCAATCAGCAAGATCGGGGAAAGAAGAAGGAAATAATTAAAGAAAAAAAAAGGAAGGCAACGAACCGACTGCCAGCTAGATTACGAAATTAGCCGGCTTTTTGTCACTAGCTTAACCGTAGGTGTGGGAAATGCTAACCATCTTTTGTATGTTTTCTGCTTAGCGGATACAATACATCCATTAAATGATACACGACAAAACGGACGAAGCAACAGACCGATTAGGCAAAGACCCGGTTTGACAGGACGGCCCCTTAATACAACACGTCGTGTCAACAAAAGGGCAAGCGTGCAACTTTGACTCCTGTGGCTCCGTTATTAATATCCCCCACCCCTTCTGTCTAAACTCTCTTCCTCCCCCTTCACGCAGTTACTTCTTTCACTCGTTCACCCCACGCTCTCCCCCGAACTTCGCCCCGGGAATTGCAGATCGGATCTAGTGGCTATAATAACAGGCTGGAGGGGTACAGGCAGTTTGGGACGAACGGCACCTTAATACGATACTGACAGGAGGGCGGATCTATGTGATTGTTCTCACTTCAGACCGTTCTTTTTGCGCGCATCGTATGCTGATCATTTCGCTAAGCTCAAAGGCAACAGAGTCTTTACAATCTGATCGTTTGAATCATTCTGTTCACTATCTTCCAAAGGTTCTAAGCATATTTTGATCGTCCGTGTCATTTATTCTTAAAGACATGTTTGGATCCCTCCACGCAATTGACTTCTATGGGCTTAATTTTCCAACCCACTTTCTAATATTTTAATCTTGCATTTCCGACCAAGACATTTAAATGAAGATGAGAATTCTTTAAATTTCAAGAACTTGCTTTTAAAGCTAAATTCTTGAATATTTCTCCTTCTGAAGACACCATGAATACAAAATTGGTGTAGAAAAGACGCTCATTTTTTGCCACCTCTTTCCATAAATCTGCTCTAGGCTCAGTTAGACATCAGTTCATTCATAATTCAACGTGGAAATTTTCCAATATTCCGGTCTCCTTAGGAGCGAACGTAATTAATTTTGATTTGTATGATAATGACTTGTAATCGGAACTGGACCAGTACAAGGAAGTGCTGAAATGACATGCAGCTTCCATCGCTCTGTTCTATTGTCAGCCATTGTCCCATCCACTTTTTTTCTTTCCCCTTTGGCACTCACTCCTCTTTTAACCGTGATTGAATTTCTGTGACGTCTAGTCGTCCTAACGTTATTAAATCTCCCACGTTGTCTTCAAACCTTGTTTAATTATTCAGTAATTTGTACGGAATTTTTGAGGTTTCTCTGACTCACCTACTCACCACTAACTCCACCCCCTTTGCAATGCCATTTGGTGACTATTATGCGAATAAATGCGAATTTATTTTCGTTTTACCTTATTAATGCTGGCTGGAGTCACGTGTTCATTTATTTAGAATTTTTCATTTTAAAATTGAATATTTTAAATATTGAATAAAGAAACCCATCTTTATTCAAAGAGTTCAACAGATTTTCTTGTATCAAACAATTTGAAGTAATTAATTCGAATTATTTTTTTTCTTTTTAAAAAACGTTATTAATAACGAGCAAATATAGACCTAAGATTAAGATTTATAAGCTGCTAATATTCATTAAAATATATAAGAGATTATAAAAAAATAAGTTAAGGACTACGTAGCTATAATTTATAATCATAACAAATTATCTTATAGACTAAATTAGAAACATTGAACTGTTTCCAATTTTTAATAAGGATACACAGGTGTGAATAATTTTCTTCATAATTAATCTTAAGAATTTTTTTATGACATTAAAAAAGTATAGTCTACCCATTAAAAGTTAGAGGCCTGAGGCATAAGAGTGAAATATTTTAAGAAAATGCCAAATATATTTTTTTTAAATGTAGAAATCAAACTTTAATAAGCTTTAAAGAGGGTTTAAGCTTAAAGGCCCTAGCTTATACAAAGATATTGGATATGTAAGGCCTATAATAGTTTCTCTGGATTAGAAATTATTGTACATTGTTTCCTTATTTAAATTTATTTATTAGATAAGAATGACTTATTGAATAATTTATCATAATTTTATATCCTACTTTACTAAAAATTAAATGAAGTTATGAAAGGACTATAATAAGGTATTAAACATCCAATACGTAAATCGTTGCTGTAACATATTGTTAACTTAGAGTGTATATATACATGTAACGACCTCTCTAACTTCACTAACTTAATGGCTTTCTATTCTGCTAATTAGTAATCTATATTTACTAAATTATCTCATATTATAAGGTGATTATTTGTTGGCCTGTGTGCTTATTTGTCATTGTTCATCCTGCCAGAAACTAATTAAAATTTATGTTTCTAGAATATATATGTATTTTTATAAACTATTAGTAATTTTAGATATATATATATACTGAAAACCAGTTTATTGATCATTTAATTAGTCTCACTGTTTAAGAGGCCTACAATTCCTAATATAAATTAATGCTATATAAATCAGAATTATCGACACAAATGCCAGAAGGTAATTACTGATCAACTGGAGTGTTGTAAGCCTAATTGTGAAACGTGCAGGAGGATCAACTGAATTGGGCCCTAGAGCCATGTTTCAGATAGAGAAAGAAAATGTGAGTATCACTATTAACTGAGAACTTAAACCTGTTTTGTTTTCAGTAGGGGGTAAAAGACTCTTTTTCTATCTATTTGTGAAGAAATTGTCGCTTGAGGGACGTCCATTTCAATAGAATCTAAAGTTTACAATTCACAGGATAATAAAATTTAATATTTTAAACATGAGTATCCTTTATTATCATTTTAAATAGATGCTACTTTACTGTATTTTACAGT